CGGAGCCTGGTGTGCTTGGAGGAGGGGAAGACGGAAGCGGGGGGGGGGGAGGAGACACCCCTTGACCGAGTTCGGAGGGCAGTATGGGGGATGCTGGATGCCGATGATGCCCGCGTCGTATCGAGGCCTGCAGAAGAAGTGGCGAGAATGATGACCATAATCGTTGAGATGTTCGGGGAGTTCGGGGTAACGGTGTCGGAGAAGAAGACGGAGACGCTCCTGATGCGCGCGAAGGACAAGCCGACTACAACATCACAGCCCGCCCCGCCTCCACCACTGACCATCGAAGCCGCGGGACAGAAATACGCCCAGACGACCGAGTTCCGGTACCTCGGTGGCCTCGTCAACGAACATGGCGACCTCACCCGGGAGATCAACTACAGGAGCAGAGGAGCGTGGGCGTGCCTCAGGCGATATGGCCGGGAGCGCTTCGACAGACCAAAAGCGCCATTCCGACTCAAGGTCCGCCTCCTCTAGGCGGAGGCGACGGAGGTGCTGCTGTACGGCTGCATGACATGGTCACCACTCAGCGGCCACTATCAGACGCTGCGGTCGATACACCACCGACTGCTCCTTCGAGTTATCGGGTACAAGCGCAAGAAAGACACCTACCGGCAGCTCTCTTACGCTCAGACGCTGAAGAGGGTCGAATGCCAGAGCGTTGAAGCCACGATCCGTCAACGACGCCTACTGTTCGCGGGAGCATTGGCAAGGCAGCCGGACGGGCGACTCCCGAAACGACTGATGCTCGGCGAACTGGCAGGGGAAAAGAAGCGACGTAGGGGGGGACCGGAACAGAAGTGGCCGAAGTGTGTGCTCGACGACCTGAAGGCATTCGGGGCCAACCACAGATCTACGAAAGCCGATCCATGTTGTCTCGGAATCCCGGTGCCGAAAGACACGACACCGAAGTTAAAGTGGACGGAAGCCGCGGAGGTGGAGGGAGGAGCACTCTGGCATGCGGCGGTGCTACAGGGAGCTGAGAGGTTCATGACCTCCTGGCACGAGAAAGAAGAAGAGGCCAGCCGACAAACGAGCGCTCAAACGAAACCACAAGCCAACAACCAATGGGGCGGGAGGGGGGCAGGAGACGGACGAGACGGCGAGGGAAAAAAGCAAACGAGAAGAGACGGACCGAGTGGCGCGATACGTGCCGGATTGAATTTCTTTTAGCCAATTCCCCCCCCCCCAACGCTGCGCCATTGCAGCAACCCCCCACTAGTGATGACGTACCATTACAATGTATCCCTGGTTGGTGGCCATGTTTGCGTGTTAGCTTGTTCGTTAGTGGTCTCTCCACCGTGTGCCTTTCTCTGTCTCTTATTTCTTGTTATTTTCGGCCTGGTTCCCTTTTGTCCTCGCTCTTTTTCATTGCATTTTCTCTTTCCGTACTCTTTCCTTTTATTTTCTTCTCATTTTCCCTGTTTTCTTTTTTTTCTCTCCTTTTCTGTGCCAGATGGCCTTGTCTCTGCTTGCGTTGTGAAGTACCAAGATTGAACCAAGGGGGTGCACCTCTTTCTCTCCGGCCCGTGATGGTGACCCCTAGTCTCAGTTGTTACCTCGCATGGCCCGCAGAGGGAGTGGAGGACTCCAGGATATCTGTCGTTGATTTATATTGACTTGCGAACCCCTCGGGGCCAGGTTCTTTGAGTGTGCATTTTTAGGGTAAGTTAGCCTGCGACCACGAGAATCGACCGCGTCGAGTGTTGTGTCAGTACGGACATACGAAGGTACTGGGTCGAGGGAGATCGGAACGGTTTTCATGTGAAGGCAACAACAACAACAACAACAACAACAACAACAACAACAATATTCATCCGTGCTCCATGCAAGAACGCAGGAAGATCGCATGTATGCAGAGAGAGACGGAGAAACGAAAAGAAAGCCGAAGATTTGCAGCCCACCCTCTGTCGGTGTCCAGCTGACTGCTCGCTGTCTGTCTCGCCTGCGGCTGTGTGTGTGTGTGAAGAAAAAATACCTCTCGTTGTGGTGCGGTTAGTTAGCCTTTTGTTTCTAGATCACATCGCTCTGCAGACTTATGTCGGTACGTTCGAAAACGATTTTCCACCAACATCTTCCTTCCCACACTGGCGACTACCCCATCGGGACTGCCCTCGGTCTCCTTGTATCTGTACTCGGCGGGGTACAGATCTTACAGACCTCTGAAGGGCTTACGCAGATTCAGATGTCAACTATGTTGTTGTTGTTGTTGTCTTAACATTAAAAACCGTTCCGTTCTCTCTGCCCAGTACCTTCTTCTGTCCATACTACTAGTCTGAACACTTGACGGGGTCGATTCCCGTGGTCACAGGCTAACTTACCACCCAAAAAAGATATACAAATATAAAATGGACCCCAAGGGTCCGCAAGCCAATAAAAGTCGACGACAGATAGTCTAGGCCACTCTGTTAGCCCCTTCACGCTATGCGAGGCAACTCTAGATTGGAAAAAGATATACCAATGAAAAAGACTATGGGTACAAGGGTTTCGGCGGCTTCCGCCGCCACGCTTTAGAGAAGAAACGATTCCAAGATATCTGTTTTTGTGCTGAAGACACGTTTTTGTGCTAATATAGACATGACTGATGAGACGTGGGCACCGACGAAATGATGTTTGTGTCACGTGCTTTTCCCGACGTTCACATGTGTTTTGGCATGACCGGCTGAATGCATATAACGTGGCGGCTTTTCACCGATCCCGAGAGGAATTTGTCACGTGATGTTTGCGTGTGATGTGCTTTTCACGATGTTGGTGAGATGAGTTTCTAACGTGAACCATGGCTAAAAAAACTTTAAAAAGAACGTCGAACCGAACGACAATCTGATTGACGGGCTATGCCAGAGACACCCCCAGTAACAAATCGTCGAAAGCTACGGAACGGCGGGTGGCTACACAACAGCAGTTAAGTAACCCCGAACTGGACGCCGAGGCAGGGGATCCCGGGCGTGATGTCCACTAGGTAGGTAGTGCAGGTAGATGCCAGTGATAGCACGGAAATCTCACAGTCGTTCTTGGCGTAATTCGCGCAAGCGCCGAAGGTCGCGCAGCAACGGGTCACGTCGCCCCCGTCACAATCGGCGTCTACACACTTCTCGAGGACTTCGCCAAATACGTAGTCGGAAGTTTTGCGCTTGTGGTGCCAGGAGAGGCAACCGTCTGAAAGACGTTTGTTGCGCCTTTCCGACATCTACAGAAAAGAAGGGCAGGAGAGATACTCAACGAAGGCTGAGTAAGAGTGTGATGTGGGAGAGCTTGAGGAGTGAGTAGCGTGTGCGTGCAACCGAACGTGTGAGGGCGGCGTCGAGAAGCAGCGTCACCCATGATTGTCATATCTTGGTGTTGACATCTTGCGATTGCAGAGGCGACGAGCTGACGACGACTCAAGATCGAATAAACTCCGCCTTCTCCGTGCCTTCCTGTGTGTGGCTACACATGGATCCACTGCGCAATATCTGGCCCGCGCAGCGGATGACTGCAGACACATCAAAGACTCAAATCCTGTATGTGCGTACACATAGATTGCAGTGTGTGCGTACACGTGGATTTGCTGTGTGGATTCCACTGTGTGTGCGTAAACATACATGGATTTTACTGAGACTGAGCTACAAAGTTACTGATTGAAACGAGAAGATTGTCACCGAGCGACTGAGTTGTTGGACTACGGAGCAGGTGACTACTGCTGTATGTAACACATTAGAGAGCGAGAAAAAGAGTAGAGAGAGAGCGTGTGAGAGAGAGAAAGAGAGGGACACGGAAAGAGAGGGATATCTGCCGGCAGAAGCGCGTGGGTAATGATGTGGATGACAGCACCGATGATGGTTGATTGCGGGGCATGCGAGGATGACTGCTGATCGATGAGTGCGAACAAAGAGGGAGCGTGCGAGGTGCAGAATGCTGCGCCAAAAGGGAGCTCTGACTGATTGAAGCACTGACTGGGAGTGCAGAGCCCGAAAGCACTGGGTGCAGAGGGACCGAAGACAGCGGCAACGGCCTCGGTCGATTGCACTTGAAGTGACAGGGCGAGCAAAGAACGAGATGGTGGACCTGAAATGCTGGCCCGTGGTGCGCCGAGAGAGGAATGAAGTTCCTCCAATTTCACGGAAAAGACAAATTGAACAAAGTCCATGATATGTAGACAGACTTCGGTCCAGCATGATTTGCCTCTTGCTCACGTCTGTCTGTCAATCTCTAATACAATGAACGTGAGTCTCTGATACGAGGAACTTGAGTCACTCCTATGTGCAACACGCTCTCGACAAGAGCCAGCTAGATTCATCACGCAGTGCACGCGCCGTCACCCCAGACACGACAGGTCTTCTACCTCTGACCTTTTCCGCACTCAATCGGGTTCTTTCTGTACCGTACCCCGATCTCGAACCTCCGACAACACCTCGGGAATTGGCATATCCTCAATTTTTCCCACCGCCGCTTCCGTTTTCAAGCAGTACAATTTCCGCCACGGGAAAAAAGAGAGAGAAAAAGGCTTCAGTTGAGGCCGGGGCTATCCCCGGGCTGCTATATACGTAGAGCTCGTCTTGAATTACTCCCTCCCTGACGGGCATCAACCGTGTTGGGAGGGGTGGGGGGCTGTTCTTACCGCGACTGTCTGTCGAGCCCCCGTCCAAGTCTCGGAGGAAGCCCCAACCGGCCAGCCACACGCGGCCAGTCGTCCTGCATTCGTGCACAAAAGCGTTTGATGCACGGTAGCGATCGGACAAAGCAGATCAGATGGAGCCACGCCTGAGGCAGGATCAAATCCACAGCCGCCGTGCTCTTGTGGGGTCACGCGAATTGGTGGACAACACACGCGACGGATTATAGAGAACCTCGAAAACCCCACTACTTGGCCCTGCCACCAAACCTACCGGCAACAGCACAGACAAACAAGCGGTTTCTTAAGAGATTGCCGCGCGCCATATCTTGGTTTTCGCGCACGGTGTCAAGGTGGTCGTGTTTCTTGCTCCACGCAACGCCGCCCATATGACACCCCCATTGACGACCACTAAATACTCGTGTCATGAGTAAATAAGGAAAGTACCTACAAGGGTAGACGATTCTGTCTCTGTCACGAAGGTAAGCTCGTTCAACCGTCCACGGAGTGCATCTCGACTTCGTGACACAGCCATCGAGAGCCAAAACTGCATTCTACGGCTTCTACTCCTGTAGGGGCGTTAGGTTAACATATCATACATATCCAGAATTTAGTCCGCCACACTAGGGAAAATGCGACTGCTTACTTCGGAGGGTCTTGATCTCGAGGTCTGGAGGAGCTCAATCCCGGCACTCCTGTCCACCTACGGGTGTGGCAATTTCCGATCGGACGGGGGCTCATGCTTTGTAGGTCGGGCGAGCTCGATGTTTATTTCAGGTCCCAAGGCAGGTTGAAAGAGATGTAGGCGACGGATAGTTCAACGAGAACAGGTAAAAACACCCCCAAGAGTTTCAGAAACCGTTGCCACCGTGTGGGGTCACGTTCACAACTGAGACGGCGTACTCCCCACCTCGCGCGCTGCCCTGTGGCCGAATTAGTCGTTCCTCTTACCGTGCCTCGTACGTGTTGTAAGCAAGATACCGCCAGGCATCCTTGTTACAGGATCAATACGGCGAGGAAAGCCAATGACCCCCGATCACATCTCAGCGAAACGGCGGCACCAATTGTTAACGGAGTGCAGCACTCTCAACACCACATACTCTGACTTATTTTTTTGGCTTTGATCCCGAGACCAAGGACAACAAGAATGAGTTTGGATGCTTGGATTGGATCATTCACACCACACCACCTAATGATACTGCTGTACTGTTATCCTGATCTGCCCGTCATGTTGTCATGATCACTTAAAGCCTGACCGTTCCGTCCACACACACGAAAACAAAAAAAAGCGGTTTCAAAGCACGTAGTTGTACCATGGCGTCGCAGACAAACAAAAACACGTGGCACCATGGCGTGGCAGGAAAAGAAAATCGCGCCTCTCACGTGTTAAGAAAGGGTACACGGGTTTCCGTTTGTCGGTGTCTCTCGAGCCAAACACCCCGGTCTCCGTTCCCGTGGAGCATCCTTCGGGAAGGGCCAAGCCTCACCTGTCCAAACGCGGGTCAGAAACGGTAGAAGGATGTAAGTATCGCCCCCTCCCCACGGGACTTCACAGGAGGAGAGCAAGGGCTCGGTCGATGGGCGGCCAAGCAACAGCCAACGACTAACTTCGTAGCGTTGAGCGTCGCAGCAGTACACGAACTCTGTCCTGCCCCTCCCCCCGCCACATGCAGTTAGTGCCCTCCTCGTTGGCGAAAAAACATGACCTCCCGTGTCCTGCTTGTGTAGTAGCCTAGGTGCACGAGAAAAAACGCAATCTTGAGACTGAAATTGCTGTGACATGCAAACGTGTATACCCCTCCTCTTCTGGAAGAAACCGACGGGAAAAATCCGAGCTCGAGGTGACCACGTCGCACCAGTCGGTTAATGGAGCAAAAAGTAGGAACGTTATAGGTCAACAACTTTCCAGGGTTCTCTCTGTGTGTCCGGGTGGACCATCGTCTATACTACTGTTGTGGCCCACGCCGTTTTTCACTCACCGGTGCTTCAACACAAACACTAGACAAAATCATGAGGCAGAGTCCCGGTGCGACAAAAATACAAGCACGAAATGATTTAATTCAATTCGATTTTCGCACGACAATCGGTGATATCGCACGCACGTGATATCGCACCCCCGTACGTTCTCTCGCACCCTTGCGGAAACTTACCCCTCGGTCTGGTACCAGTCCCTCCTCCAACACGCTGCGGTATTTCGCCTGGCCAAAAGGAAGAAAGATACAAAACGCCGCCGCAGCCGGTGGTTTGGACGTCCAAGTCTCTCGACAACGCATCTTGCGAGAGATTGTTTTGGCGGCTTGTCCTGTGATGATGAGCGCTCGCAGCACGCACGCACACATTCGAGCGCTGGATTTCTTCTTGCCATCACCACGGATCACTTTCTCTCGCATCGTGTGACGATACATGGATATCTCGGCCCCACCAGCCCGGACACCGTCATATCCCACAACTCGTCGGTTTCGGGAAAGCCGGTTGGCTCAATACAACTTCCTTCTTGAGGCGCCATGAGAACATTCCGACCACCGCCCCTACCAGCAGAACATTCCCGACCACAGAACCGCATGAATTCTTTCTCGCAGGATGCAACAGCCCCTCTGTCCACGCGCTGGTGCCGGTTGGTGAGCCTGAACAACGCGTATCCCGTAACGGCCGAACCATGTACCGGTGCATGCCTCAATCACGTGCTTCGTAGACTTCAGCACTCGCTTGTGGAAACATCGCACAGTACAGGGCACCGCGAGCATCGACAAGTCTAGTCTAGTCCCCGCTGGGAAATAGTTAGCCCCCCGTCGGCGTCCCCTTCTCCTGCACCCACCTCCGCGCTGCAACGCCGGGGAGGTTCGCCCCCGCACCTCCAAAACGCCTCCGACATGATGCAGCGGGTCCCCCCGTACCGCCCTCGGAACTGCAACCACGGGGGCTTGCTTCCTCTGGGGTGGTCCAGCTGGACGGCGTGCGGCCGCCACACCTTCCCGTCGCCCCCGCAGATGTCATCGCCGAGGCCAACGAAGCGCCGCCACCTTCCAAGCGCGTACGAGAGAGAGACAGACAGACAGACAGACAGGCAGACAGGCAGACAGGCAGACAGAGACAGACAGTGAGGTGCAGAGGCGGGACTGTCAGAAGCGGGTTTCGGCATCAACCAAGGTGTCTCACTTGACACCGCCCCCGAAGCGAAAGATCAAATTAGCCATATCCTGTGCCTTTGCTCGCCAAGTGCGAACCCCTGTGAGTGCTGAACCTGATACGTCGATTGCTGAGCTTGCGAGGAACTGGGTGATCGCTGTTGGGCGTCGTCATTCGCCCTCTAGGCGTACTACCGCTTGACTGCCGTTCTACAAATTACTACAGAGGTAGATCGTTCTCCGCAGATAAAGTGCACTATCTCTGCCCAGGTGAGTTGTTATGAATGATGACCTGATTGATATCGAGATGAAGCCTTATCAGTTTCATGATACACGCACGTACGAACTCGGTGCGTATCCGTGGGAGGGTTGCATCGGGCTGGCCTTATCGGTTTCACGTTTTCGGCTCAACTTTTTCGTGTTTTTCGGTATATTGAATGTTTTCGGTTGAACCTTTTCGGTTTCATGCTCTCGGTTTGTCATTTTGCCTCAACCTTTTCGGTTTCGCGTCTTTGGCTTAAAATTTCGGTTATGCTTCTCGGTGTAAGCTTTTCGGCTTACCCTTTCCGGCTTGCTTTTCGGCCCTTGTCGCTTGAACCTTTTCGGTTTCGGTTGAATCTTCTCGGCTTGTCGGTTTCACGTTCTCGGTTTCACGTTTGTTTTCGGTTTTATATCCTTTTCGGCTCAACCTTTGCGGTTTTGCGTTTTTGGCTTAACTTTTCGTTTTTTTCGGTTCAAGCTTTTTGGCTAAACCTTTTCGGCTTATCCTTTTCGGTCCTTTTGACTTCGATAAAATCTTTTCGGTCATTTTCGGTTTCACGTTTGTTTTCAGTTTCATGTTTTCAGGTTATCCTTTTCGGTTTCGGTTTAATATTTTCGGCTCATTCATTTCGATCCTTTTCGGTTTCACGTTTTCGGTTTCACGTTTGTTTCGGTTTATTATCTTTTTCGGCTCAGGTGTATTACAAACGACAGAAAAAACACGGAACATTTAACGGAAGTGTGATTTCTTGAACATATTTGGAGGCTTTTTTCTCCGAATCCGTGAGAGGAGCGAGGCGAGATTTTGGGGGGCTTGCTCTTTGCCCCATTCCGGGTTTTTGACACAAGCATCGGACAGGCGCACCGCGGGTGCTGTAACATCACTGACAACGCTAGAAGAGGTGCCAGACTCACGCCCAGACCTATTGCCATGATAGACCAGCCACAGAAGCCGGGTTCAGCACGTTATTTATCCACACCAAGACATTGAGTGATGCCCCCGACTTGAACTGCTGTTGTTGATGGTCGTTTTTTTTTTCAACCGCACATGACACACACGGAAACAGTAGAACGAGTCAGCAGCAGCGGCAAGGCCTCCAACGCGCTGATTCCTGCGGTCCGGCTGTCAATATGATACTCACTCCCCGGCGCTGTACTGCTTCTTAGGTATTGGGTGCTTGGGTGCTGCTCAATAAGGTGTGTGAGAAAGGGGTGTCACCTTGCCAACTTGCCGCTTGAAAACTTGCGGTGAGATGGCCTGTTTTTGGTCGGAGAGACAGCAACTCAAATCCACAGCACCACGCAGCAGGAGAGCAGCAGGGCCTCCGACACGCATATTCTTTCGGATTGGTCATTTATGTGATGCTGGCCGTCAGCGCTGCTGCCGCCCTACGATTTTTGAGCTCGTCTACCTTTCGACAGGTCGTGGTCAAACCAGGGGGTCGCAACGATGAAAAATCAGCCGCCAACTAGCACCAACGGAAAAAAATCGCAAGCAACACCCGCGTTGCGACACTCTTCCCTGGGCCTGTAGCTCAAAACAGCCAGCCGGGTTAACGGGGTCTTTATAGGCATGCTGTTCTTTGTGTCGGGTGCTGCTCTTTGTGATTTTGCCGCTGCTCTATGGTGAGCGAAACCAAATCAACCTGTTGTATGTCGAGCAAAGCGTGTATTCACCTGAAGGGAACGGGTTTTTGCGATTAGATCACGTTTAAAGCAAGCGGAAAGAGTCGGGTCTTCTTTCACTGTTCCGTGAAAAAAAGCGTGAATTTTTCCGTGAAATGGTTAAGCGATAATAATAAGCCTCAACCTTTCGGTTACACGTTTTGGGTTTCACGTTTGTTTTAGGTTTATCCTTTTCGGCTGAACCTTTTCGGTTTCACGTTTTCGGTTGAACTTTTCAGTGTAATTTTCGGCTTAAACTTTTCGGTTTATCCTTTTCGGTCCTTTTCGGTTCTACCGTTTCGGTTTCACGTTTCGGCTTAACTTTTTCGGTTTGATGTTTTCGACTAAACCTTTTTGGCTTATCTTTTTCGGTCCTTTTCGGTTTCACGTTTTCGGTTTCACGTTTATTTTCGTTATATCCTTTTCGGCTCAACCTTTCCGGTTTCACGTTTTCGGCTTAACTTTTTCGGTGTAATAACTTTTACTTATCATTTTCGATCCTTGTCGGTCCTTTTCGGTTTCACGTTTCGGCCTAACCTTTTCGGTAGCATGTTTTCGGCTTAGCTTTTCGGTTTATCTCTCGACTAAACCTTTTCAGCTTAACCTTTTCGGTTTCACGTGTTCGGCTCAACTCTTTCGGTGTAATCTTTTCGGCTTATCCTTTTCGGTTTCACGTTTTGGGTTTCACGCTTATTTTCGTTTTATCCTTGTCGGCTCAACCTTTTCGGTTTCGCGTTTCGGCTTAACTTTTTTGGTGTAATATTTTCGGCTTAACATTTTCGGCTGATCCTTTTCGGTCCTTTCCGGCTTCACGTTTTGGGTTTCACGTTTGGGTTCGGTTTATCCTTTTCGACTCAACCTTTTCAGTTTCATGTTTAAGCTTAGCTCTTTCGACTAAATCTTTTCGGCTTGACCATTTCGCCTTATCCTTTTCGGTCCTTTTCGGTTTCTTCTCATTTTCGATTTAACCTTTCCGGCTCAACTTTTTCCGTTGAATCATTTCGGCTTAACCTTTTAGGTTTCATGTTTTCGGCTATAGTCTTTCGGTTTAATCTTTTCGGCTTATCCTTTTCGGTCGTTGTCGGTTTTACCTTTTGGGTTTCACGTTTGGGTTTGGTTTACCCTTTTTCGGTTTAATCTTTTATCCTCATCGGTTTCATGTTTTCGGCTGAAGTTTTTCGGTTTAACCTTTTCGGCTTTTAACCTTTTCGGCTTATCCTGTTCACCTTATCGTTTTCGTTCCTTTTCGGTTTCACGTTTGTCGTTTCACGTTTGTGTTCGGACTATCATTTTCGGCTTGACCTTTTCGGTGTCACGTTTCCGGCTTAACTCCTGTTTATTCTTTTCGGCTCAACCTTTTCGGTTTCACGTTGTCCGCTTAATTTTTTTTTCTGTTTAGTCTTTTAGGCTTGACCTTTTAAGCTTATCCTCTTCGTTCCTTCTCGATGTGACCTTGTCGGTTTCACGTTTCGGCTTAACCTTTTCGGTGAAATCTTTTCGGCTTATCCTTTTCGTTCCTTTTCGGTTTCACGTTTTCGGTTTCACCATGTCGGTTTCACCTTTTCGGCTTAACCTTGTCGGTTTCACCTTATCGGCTGAACTCTTTGGGCTTAATCTTTTCGGTCCTTTTCGGTTTCACGTTGTCGGTTTCGCGACTTTTTTCGGTTAAACCTTTTCGCCTTAACCCTCCTCGTACGGAAGCCCAAATGGGGACACTTTGGGGACACAACACTCAAATGCCTAAAAACATCACTCACTGAAGTCGCCCTAGGCTCCACTGTGTGTAACGCACGTGAGAACCCTTGGTCTATTTTGCTCTGACTGAGGGGGTACGCTGTGTGATATGATGTGTGATGCCTCCCCTAGGCCTCTGACTTATTGTCCATATCTCCCCACCCACATGCCCCCTGGATCGTTAAACTACATCGCCTGGTACTGGAAAAAAATGCTGACTTGGCTTCAGTATGAAAAGTGTTCCCACGTGCTTTGGGGACACTATTCATTCTGAAGCCAAGTCACCCTTTGTGTGGCAAGGAGCTCAGATTCTTTGGATGGACTGTTGTAGCACCCCGACCAATGGCTGACAAACACTTTTGCGACATTTTCTTTCTGCGGAGGGACTGGGTACTAGGAGGGTTAACCTTGCTGTTCGGTTTCACGTTTTCGGCTTAACTTTTCCGGTTTGATCTCTTGGGCCTTTTCGGTCCTTTTCCGTTCAACGTTCTCAATCCTTTTCGGTTCATCCGTTTCGGCTGAGCCTTTTCGGTTTCACGTTTTTGGTTTGACGTTTGTTTTCGGTTTATCCTTTTCGGGCTAACGTTTTCGGTTTCACGTTTTCGGTTCAATCTTTTCGGCCTAACCTTTTCGGTTTCGTGTTCTCGGCTGAACCTTTTCGGTTTAACCTTGTCGGCTGAACCTTTTCGGTTCCGGTTTAATCTATTGGGATTAACTTTTTCGGCTTATCCTTTTAGGTCCTTTTCGGCTTAACTTTTCGGCTTATCCTTTCGGTCCTTTTCGGTTTTACCTTTTCGGTTTCACGTTTCGGCTTAGCTTTTTCAGTTTTATGTTTTCGGCCTTATTTATTTCGGTTTAAATTTTTCGGCTTAACCTTGTCGGCTGAACCTTTCGGCTCATTCTTTTCGGCTTATTCTTTTGGGCTTTACCCTTTTGGGTCCTTTTCGTTTTCACGTTTTGGGTTTCACGTTTGTATTCGGTTCATCCCTTTCGGCTCGACCTTTTCCGTGCCACGTTTTCAGCTTAGCTTCTTCGGTGTAATCTTTCTGGCTTATCCTTTTTGGTCCTTTTCGGTTGAAATTTTTCGGTTTCACATTTCGGCTTAACTTTTTGAGTTTCATGTTTTCGGCTTCTTGTTTCGGCTTATCCTTTTCGGTCCTTTCCGGTTGAACGTTTTGGGTTTCACGTTTTCGGCTTAACCTTTTCGGTTTCATGTTTTCGGCTAAAACTTTTCCGTTTGATCTTTTCGGCTGAACCTTTTCGACTTAACCTTTTCGGCTTGTCCTTTTCGGGTGAACCTTTTCGGTTTCACGTTTTGGGGTTCACGTTTGTGTTCGGTTTATCCTCTCGGGCTTACCGTATATGACACAAGATAACACACCCCCTTGACCAATTTTCAATGCTCGATT